TATATGTGAAAAAAGTTGTTCTACTTTAGCAGAATAAGAAAAAATAGCAAATATTTTTAATATTAATATTTTTAATGCTCTAGCTTGATGAGAAATATTTTTTCAATATGCACGTGGTTCTAAAGTACTTAACATTTTTTTGCTTCACTTAGACAGATTATATTAGTACTTTTATTTAATCAAGTCACATCCCTGTAGAGAGATTCAAATATTAAAACTCTAGGTCTAATATACTGAGGTTATTTTGTGTAACTTAATTGATTATCTATATATATCTACAAGTGACTACGTTGTATCAGAAAGATATGATTAATTAAGATAATACTCTACTGGGGGCTCATCTGACTACTGCTCTACAATAGGATATTACCAATCTAATGATATCTTCTCATAGAGAAGTGAAAGAAAAAGAAAATTTATAAATAAAATACAGAGGTATAAGAAAATATATAAAAAACAAATAAAAGAAAAGAAGGTGATAAGGCTAAGACAAGAAAAACTAAACTAAATATAGGATTTTTTACTCATACTGGATAGTCATAATTATAAGCCTGTGTCAAGCTTCTTAAAAATTACATACTACTATCTAAACTATTCTCTATACTAATTTACATACATAGTATACTTAAATTTAAAACCTAAAAAAACAAAAAAGGAAAGCTTCTTCGACATTGGCACTATAGAGAAGTCGAAAAATTGCACCATTAGGCTTGTAGTATTATTTTTCTAGGTCATCATATTTGAGATATGTAATCTATATATCTATGTTTTATATATATCACATGTTTGTTATAACAAGTAAAAAATGTAAATAATATCACCTAATTTAGAAAGTAAACAATATGTTAATCTTTTGAAAGGGTAAGCTAGATCACCTACTTTTTACAAAATTTTATCTGAAAAAAAGTGGGGCAAATGAAAGTGTGTGAGGTTCTTCTGTAAGTTTTATAGTTGTATAGTTGGTTCTACAAGCTTATATTATCTCAACAAGAGTCACTCTACTACTTGCTTCTAGAATAAACCTTTTAGTTTGGATACCAAATATCTTGTGGAGTTTACCACAAAAGAAAAAAGCTTGATCTCAAGAAAAACTATTTAAGTTATGCCTGTACCTTGGTATTTTACATCTTTCAAGTTTTATCACAATAATCTGTTCAGAGATAAGTTTAGTTTTCAGAATAAACCTTCTGGTTTAAATATCAAATATCTTGAGAAGTTCACTAAAAACAAAAGCTTGACCCAAGTTATACCCGCTTTTTGGTATTTCACATCTTTAAACTTCGTTGGCAACTGCTTACTCAAATACAAAACTAAAAATAGTGTATATCTTGAGACTTCCTATATTATTGTTCTGTAGTTCAGTTTTTTGTTGCATTGTCCAGAAGATCATTGAAAAGAGTTTTTTTTTTAAAGTACTTAAATTAAATAGTGGTTTATTATTATAATAGTTTAATAATAATTTTTGCAAAATTTGTTTTGCTTGATTACATATAAAATTCTATATTTGTGTAAATATCAAAATATAAACTACCATATTATTAAAGTTTAGTTTTTTAATATTGTGATTTTGCAAAATTTTGGATTTAAAAAAATGCTAAATAATATATAAGTTCATCAAATTTTTTTGCTTGAAAATTAACTATGTCTTTTGTATGATTGACCAATTCATAATCAAAATCTTCAAATTTACTCAATTTTAATTTTTTATAAATAAGTAATAATTCTGAAAATATATTATCTAAAGCTATATTATTAGATTCAGGTTTTGTAATCACATCAACTACATATTGAAAAATGAGAGTAAATTGTTCATTTTCAAGAAAATATCGATGACTTGTAATAATTTCTTTAATTTTAGTTAAAATAGAAAGATATTCATTAGAAAAGTTAATACTATATTCAAGACAATTTTAAAAACCTCCTTTATGATTTTGAACTGAGAAACAAAATTTTAAAAGTAAATACTATCAGGTTTTACAAAAAGTTTGCAGTTTATGTTTAATATTATTTTTTAAAGACCATTGCTTTAATTTTGCATTTTGATATTGTTGGTAAAATAAAATTCTCTTCATGATTAAATTAAAAATATACAAATAGCATTTAATACCAATCACATGCTAATACTATCTGAAACTCTAGCAATAATTTTATCAAAACTTATAGAGACATTTTTTAATGAGTTTTTTACTGTGGCAATTATTTGCTATATGCCAAGTACTAGAAAAATCTTCTATATAAATAATTTTATTAATATCTTTAAATTTATGCAAAAAAAAGTATATTGAGTTATTAGATATATCTGTCTATCTGTCAAGTAAAAGAGTTAAATCACACATTTTTCTAATTTAGTCAATTATTTTTACTAATATTCATGCACATTTAGCTTGAATTATACTATTTGACAATATATATTTTGATAGTAGATTATAGCTTGAATGTAAGTTTTTTAAAAATAAAATAAAAAATAAATTTTCAATAAAACTAAATTAAATATTGCAATATACTAATACATGTAATAACAAAGTATATAATTTAGTAGCTTTTTCTGGTGGTATAGTAGTTTTATCAAAATAATCTGTTATTAAAACTGCTTTGTGAGTAGAAATTTTGATAACTTGTTTAAATTTGTTTTAAATTATTTATGAATAAAATATTTTATTTTCAGCTAGAATTCTGCAGCAGATAATAATTATATAGTAAGTTATTGTTTTTTTATATGCTTCAATACAGTCGATTCTGGATATAACAAATCTCTATATAACAAATTCTAGATATAATGAATCTAAAAATTTAAAATTTTATAGTAGTTTAGTATAGAAAGTGCTATGGGTTCTTAAAAAAACATAGTAATTTTCTATAATGAACATTTTTTCTTTTCAGAACTGTTAGTTTGTTATAGAAAGAGTTGACTGTATTTGGTCACAATATATATACTTTATATTATATTACTAGGCTTTATTATTTTTAAATTCTTTTGAATACAAGAAACCCATCCAATGTATACCAAAATTCTTAGATAGTGTTATAAAATCTTCATTTGAGACTAAAATATCAGAATCCATAATTTCTTCAGGATCTGTAATATCCTCAGAATCCATAATTTCTTGTGAGTTCATAATTTCTTAAGAATTCGTAATTTCTTGAGAATCTATAATTTAAGAATTTATAATGGCAAAATATTCAATTAGATAATCTGTTAAGAATTTTTGGTTTTAAGAGAATTTTACTTTAAGTATTAAAACAAAAAAGAACTGTTTTTACAAGATAACTATTCTTACTTCTTTTATATATTTTAAATCGATTAACTTACTAACTATTTTATTCTAAAGTTTCTTTTAGAATGATCAACTCCTTAATATGCATTCCCTTGATTTTGGGTCTAATATTCGATGCATTATAAAAATAATACTATGCAATAAATAAACAAATAAATAAAAAAAATAATAAGATGATGAAAAAAAAGATGATAAAACCTTTACAAGGTCTTTTTGCCTACTTCTTTTACACATTTTACATTAATTTACTATTTTGTTCTTAATTTTTTTTTTTTAGAATGATCAACTTTTTGATATACATCATTTCTTGATTTTGGATCTAATAACTAATACATAAGAAAAATAATACTATGCAATAAATAAACAAATAAATAAATAAAAAATAGTAATATAATGAAATAAAAGCAAAGAAAAAGATAGGTAAGTAGAACCCTTTTCACATGATTTACTAGAGATATTATAGCGTGGTCGAGTTCAGTTCCAGTTTAATAAAGCTTTGGATCGTGAATTGGATTAAAGACTCAGTCTATTTGAAGCCTTTTGATTGATTACTTTAATGTTCATATAGCAAATATGAGTACTAATATATTTATTAGAACAGATTCTATTTTACTGATAGTTATTATCCGCCTGATGTTTAATTCTAACCAATGTCAACCCTAAATTAGGCTGCCTTTAACTTAATTTATATTAGCTTAACTGAAGGGCAAATAAATAGTTATTAGGGAAATGAGATTTACTGGATTCGTATAGATCATTAATAAATAATTAATATTAATTAGCATATATTATATTCCTAATTTTGAAGTCAATTTTGAAATTAATAAAGGCGGTCATATGGTTAAAGGTTTGGATGATGATCAAAAATATAATGAGCAATATTATACAGAGATAATAAGAAAATTTTAAGGGAGTTTAAGAAATAGCGATAACAATGCAATCAGAAATTATGATTACGATTATATACAATGAGTAAAATTCAAATTATTATGTTTGAATAGTTATTTACAAAGGATTATAGTACTTACGAATGAATTAATTTCAATAAAGTAAAATTAAGAAATGTAATGTACAATAAATGCTATAAATTCAAAAGCCTATATTTAAGGCCATACAAAGTTAATTTTTTGTTTGCATAACCCACCAACCCAAATTTTATAAAAATCAATTTTTTTTTTTTTTTTTTTTAGATTAAAATTTTATTTTAAAACAAAGATAATAATATTTATTTTAA